TATTCGTAGTATTTTTGGCCATATGAAGTGCATTGAATTCATTAGATTTCACAATGTTTATTGTAACAATGTGGTGTGTGAAATGAAAGTGCTCAAGGAATGAGCTGACCTATACTATGACAGTCAGAATAATCATTCCATTGCTTGTATTTCAGTGTCATACTATATATTTTGATTAGAAATTACAGAAACTAAATGTACAAAGTGACCTATATGATTATTTAAGAGATCCACCGTTCATTTAAATGGATTTGATAGTAGTTTACCCTCTGAACTAGATGATTTAATTGTAAAGCTTTTAGCATTATTATTGTACAAGAGAATAAACATCTATTCAAAGCTTTAGGTTAATCCATTTTCATGAGTTTATTTGTTATATTATCAAAACAAACTGACGTATCTCTAGTTGAATAGCTAAAAGGCTTATTCTTATTTGAAATAACTATTCGATACTTTTAAGTTTACTGGTGTTTTTTAATCAACCTCAATTTGTAATGAATAGTATCTATAGAGGTGAAAATTATAAGTATATAGGTTTCAGATAGAATGATGGCATGAATTCTAACCAATTGTCTACTCTTCTTCTATTGACAGATAGTTCCCTTCGCTGAAATTCATGTTTTACTCTTCTTCTATTTATTTATGTGCATTAGTAGAACAGAATATACACAATTATTTGGTGATATAAATACATCTGTAAAATACCTCAAGAATAGTAACAAGCCTAAACAACATTTCTAAGAACTTGTGCAATGAGATATATTATGTAACAAGTAGACAATGAAACTAATTACTCATCAAAGGTAGAAAGTGTTCCCTCCAATCAAAAGAAATAATATTCAAATGAATCAAATTAACAAATCCTGTTCGAGCACATCAATCGTTATTACAGCCTTAACTCAGGTTTTATGATTAAATAAGTTAAAATATAATAGCAGACAGAAATATACTATTAAGAGAGTATGAAGAACAAATATGACTGAGTTGCAGTTGAAGATCGGTCTTGTAATATTCAGCGATTTCTCGAACCAAATGCTGAAAAGAAAGCTTTCAGATCAAAAGTTCAGTCCTATTTCGGTTATGACAAGTCTGCCAAATAACATCAGTTCTAGACCTGCATCCGAGAGACTACTTCACGTCACCGGTTGCTGAGGCGCTATTTTGCACACCTGTAGTCACCAGCTACTTTTGTTGGGTCTTATACTTAGTTGATTTAAGGACGGTCTATTAAGTTTGTGCCATTTCGAAATGCCAAGAGATAGATAACACTGTAATATTAATCTTATTTGAATCGAGAACACGAAAACTAAACCAAAGATTGTAAAAACAAATAACATTAACGTTAAATATAAGACAAATCAAATTTCTATTTTTTAGCAATAGGTACATTAATTTAATAGAGAATCATTCAGATTTTAGATGGTGATTTTTAAATCTTACTGAGAAATTAATTCATCCATATGACTAGATAGTATTCTGAGGTTACGGTTGATATTATTTTGTGGTTTATTCATTTTGATTCCTAACCATAGCTTTCAATCTCAAACTTCTAATCCTGATTTCTTACATTATTTTAAAACCCTATTATAAACCTATTAAGTGATAAAACGTTTTCAAGACAACTTTACTATCGTTCAGAAATCATTCATAAATCATAGTCTAACAGAATATTCTTCTCCCTATTTATTCTCATTATATTTCTTAGTTATGCGATCAAAGAAAGAATGACTAGATTTAAGGCAAATACATCTTTATTTTTAAATCACAGCATATGAATTTCAAACTTCACCTGTAGCTCTTCTAGGTTTACTGTCGGTTCCAAGCCTGGGTAAAAAAGAAGGGTTGGGAGTGAGGTCGTCAACCCCATCCCCTAGAAAATAACCTTGCTAAAAAACGCTAATCAGAAAATGAATTTACAATTGCAGAATTATAGGATAGAGTGGATTGAAGCTAGACCACCATGGAAATCCTGCAAGCACTGGACAGCTGGCCGTTTCGTCCTAGTATAGGACTCCTCAGCAGTGCGCATCCACGATCTCACAGCACGCGGGGCTCGAGCCCAGGACCTACCGGCTTCGCGCGCGAGCACTTAACCACTAGACCACTGAGCCGGCATCCAACGGTGTTAATGTCTAACTTCAACCAATCCACGAAGTTGCGCCACCGTACACCATTGTCTTCAGTGAGCTGATATCTCACAACAGACCTAGTTGAACTCCACTGGTAACGGCTTCTCACTAGAACTCCAGGAAATGCTTCTTGAAGTCAGTCACTAGTGAGCAGTTGATTATTATCAGAATGGGAAATTTATAAAACTCTCCACAAAACCCATTCTGATAATGATTAGTGTGTGTCTGTTGTTGTTGCTGTTGTTGATTTCAACAAGTAACTATGTCAAAAGGAATAGAAGATATTAATAATTCGAATAAATAGCTAGTCGTTTCTCCATACCTTAATTTTAAGATAATTTATTCCCTTTTTTTTAAAATAATTTATTTCCATATTATCATTTGTTGTTTTTATAAACTGACTTAATCAATGAATCAATTTTTTATGGTTTGATCACAGCCACAATCAGAGACTCATTTTTTTAAATGATTACAGTAAATAATTTCATAATAATCATAATAATCATTATTCACTTGGTAACACAATAACGTTTCAAGCAAACGGTACTGTGTTCGAGTTCCAGAGTGAATATCAACTTTCAGGATACAGATATATCTGGCTGACAAGTCCTAAATAGGATGAAATGCGCATTCTGTATTCCACTGCTAGTCATTATCCAGTCTTTGTTTATAATAATAATTATTATTGTTATGAACGATTATTTACCGGTTTATTTATTTACTACTTAAATAAAACTGATCTATTCAACCGAAATAAATAAAAGTCATTATTATTATTATTATTATTATTATTATTATTATTATTATTATTATTATTATTTTAACTTTGTGTATAAATCTCTCATTTCAACTTACAGAATATAATTTACATAAACATATTTTATATAAGTAAGTAAACAAGAATGATGTATAATTCAAAAAATGACCTTGATGATGGTAACATTGGACACTTACCTAAGATTATACGATCCAATATGATGTAAGAAAAACAATCCTTTGTAATAATAATAATAATAATAATAATAATAATAGTAACGGTAATAATAAAGCTAACATATTTATCCAGTCTTATATTTATTATGGTCACTTTTGTTTATTACTTAGGTAAATGAAGAGATTAAAGAATGGTAAAATGAAAGTGTCGAGTTTTATGATCATTTTCTATTTCAATTACCTATTCACTTGATTTAAGTTGGATAATTATTGAATAGATGGTAGGTTATTTTAATAGATTTTTTGTTATTTATTGAATAATGAAAATTATCTTTTAATTTGTTCTGTTGTTGTTGTTGTTTTCATTGTTATCACTATTCATATGATTTGAAATTGTAATTTTTGAATATATAATTGTTTTATTTCAAAAGATTTCCACCTTCCTATTATTGATATTGAAGATTATAATTGGTAGCTTAGTGGTAACGTGTCTGACTGTAAAGTTGGGTGACATGGAATTGAATCCGTTGGAGAACATCAGTTCCTTCAAGATTACAGGTACAAGTAGAACGAAATCTAGATCCAGGGTTTTCTGTTGACAACAATCGGTATTTATACTTTTTTAGTTGGTCATCTCAACGTTGTCATGTTCGACAACAGGCTGTAGCAATGTCTACAATAAGTATTTTTTTCTATTTGAGCCTCGTTAATTGAATGCATTTGTATGACAGTATGAATGTTTATACTGATAAGATATTGGTAATTAATGAAAGCGTAAACATTAACAATATGATGCACGTACATATAACCGATATATTTTGGATAGGATGATACACACGTCCTGGATTTCACTACTACTTACTTACTTACGCCTGTTAACCCTCGTCGAAGAGCATAGGCCGCCTAACAGCTCTCTCCATTCAAACCTATCCCGGACAATCATTTCCAGTTCTTTCCAGTTACTACTCATTCTCTTGATCCCTGCTTCCAATTCCCGAAGTAGTGTGTTCTTTTATCTTGCAATTTTTTGTTTCCTTTCACGATTCTAAATTAGAACCTGCCTCATGATGCATTTTGATGATTTCCGTAATATATGTCCTATTAACCTTCAGCGTGTTTTCCTAATTCTATCATCAGATGGAATCTCGTTTGCTCTCTCACATAGTAGACTGTTGCTGATGATATCCTGTCAACGGACATTGGTTAGGTTGAGTAAATAATTGCATATAAATACGTGTACCATTTTGATGATCATTGTGTTAGTTCTCGAAGTTTCATCCCTATACAATAGAACTAAGTATCTTGACTTTCGTATTGAGGATTCTGAACTTGTTGACTCACAAACAGTTGATTTGAGTTGAATATAATCTTCAACTGTGAGAATGAGGCCCTTGGTTACTGCTACTACACTGACTATCTTCACATGCATTTGTTCGTGTATAAGACATAGAAGACCTAGGTCCACTACTAGCTACTATTAAAATTGTTTTTTTGATGAACTGGTTTCATTATCTGGGTAGGAAGGTTTCAAAAGTTTGTCCTAGATTTAATTGTTAAAACAACATCGAATTAAAATATTAATAATGATACAAACCAAGGAAGCGATCTGATAGCATGTTCTCCTTTACTTCTTTATTTAGAAAAAAAACAACTATTTGTCGGCAGAGAAAACAAACAAACAAGTGAATAAATGATAAACTGATTATCAATCAATGTCCACAACTGTTACTATTGAAGATGATGATGCTTTCAATTTAATTGTTCCACTGATTTACTCTTTTTTTTTAATAATATTTTTAATCTCGAAAATAAAAAAGAGATTAAACTGTTTACTTGATTTTCTTTTCAGATGTTTATTCATTGTTCAGTTTACGATTATTATTGTTTGTGAGTTCGATTAGTGATGTAGATTACCGGAGGTAAGTAATTAAATGATTACTAAAATACTTCGAAGTCGAGAGTTGATTTCATTAATAACGATGATGATGATGATGATGATGATGATGATGATGATGATGATGATGATGATGATGATGATGATGATGATGATGATGATGATGATGATGATGATGATGATGATGATGATGATGATGATGATGATGATGATGATGATGATGATGATGATGATGATGATGATGATGATGATGATGATGATGATGATGATGATGATGATGATGATGATGATGATGATGATGATGATGATGATGATGATGATGATGATGATGATGATGATGATGATGATGATGATGATGATGATGATGATGATGATAATGATCTGCAAATAATTTCATTTGAAAATAAACTCGTTACTTTAGTGTTGTAATAAAAGCTTTTGCTTCGCTTCATGAAATTGATGTGTTTAGTTTATATTGCTATTAGATTGTAGGAGATGAATCCCTGAAAGTAGATTTTGTAAGTCACTGGTCTCATTAGCAATGTAGATCTAGATATTTTATGGAATAGATTCTCAACTTTTGGTAGACATATTTGTCCAAATTAAAAATAAACCTTGAAGAAAACTGAAAGCCAACAAATTACTCAACTTTAATATCAGCCAATGAAGTAACTGTTGAACAGTTTGATTCAAACAAAAAAACAAACTTCATGGTTACGTCATTTAAAATATTGAAATGGACGATTTAATGTTTCAGGGAACAATCAAGTAATCCTGTATTTTCATAGCACAAAACAGATGTTTACGGATATGTGCAAGTCAATTGGATTTACATTTCTTGCTGTTCGGAAATCGCTCTTGAAAATCATGAAACTGAGGGATTACTAATCATTCACTTTGATTAGACTTACTACATTTGATCCCCTTAATCATATTGAAAAGAATACAGAAAATTTATTACACAATAAACTGATTAAATTTACTGAAATTTGAAAGATTAACACATTTCTGATTAACAATGAACAAACATTGGGAAACAAGAACACTATATATATCTGCTTACTCCTGTTACCCCATGAGGAGAGCATAGGCCACTCACCAGCATTCTCCATTTAACTCTGTCCTCGACAATCCTTTCTAGTCCTTTAAAGTTGCTACTCGTTCTCTTGATGTCTACTTGCGATTCTCGAATCAATATGCTTCATATTCTTTCACTTTCCCGTTTCCCTTCAGGATTCCATGTCATATATATTCTAATTTGGAAATATTAGTTGTGGAATGACCAATTCGTCAGTGAAGTTTAACTATTGAATATAAATAAGTTAGAATTAAATTATACAATATAACTTGTACTTATAAACATATGCATATCATGTTCCTTTAAAGATTTATTATAACTACATCACTACTTAATTGATGTCAATCTTTTATTTCCAATACAATATGCTTTTAGCTGATGACAAGTCATGAATTAAGATGTTCTACTTTCAAGAAATAAACCTTGATTTTCCGATTCATTTCTTTGAATCATTGAATATCTGTTTATACTCTTACAAAATAGCATCTGAAAAAATTTCAGATTTACACATGTCAAATGGAACCATGAAGTTAACCTAATCCCATAATAGTTTGTTATAACCATAGAAAAACTGATACTCTGTACGAAGCAAAATTAGACAACAAAACTAATGACATAACTGATCCATGATGCCACACTACTGATTAGTTCCATACTAAGACAAAACGGCCGTTCAGTGCTTCCAGGTTTTCAATGATGGTCTAACATTGATTGGTTCATAATCTCAAAGAATCGGATTTTATTCACTTGCCAGAAAAAATTATTCTCCTTTAATCAAGATATACATGTGTATAACAATTGATTTAACTGACGTTTAATGATTGGTCAAGGAATATCAAATATTACAGCAAATAAAAATTTTACGCAAAATTACTTCGGAATGGTTTCTACATGTTATATTGAGTGAAAAACATGATAACTTAGTATAGAAGAAAGTCATACTGAATGAATGTTACACTAAAATAAAATGAATGTTACGTGATTACTCTTGAACGATAGTTACATATCATAGGTTATTGAAGAAATTCTTTTTCATAGGTCACTTGCACTTCCGTCAGTTAACACTTTGGTAGTCATATATATACGCTGGATAAGTATTTAAGTATATGGAGTCATCACTGTTTACTCTGTGCCCAATAAAGTTAGTTTTCGAAATGGAACTCTGTTCAAGTTAGATTTTATGTTTGACGTTACAATTTGTCATGGATCGATATCAGTTGAATGATGATTTAGAAAGGTAAAATTTGAAACAACTGTTTAATTATACACTGAGATTCTTTATTGTTTAATCTCTTGGTACCCTATAAGAAACCAACTGCGTCACAAGACAAACCCTCACATGGAATCCTCAAGGTCAAAGGAAAAGAGGAAGACCAAAGAAAATGAACAAGAATTGGATGGAATTAGAAAGGAAGGCCGAGGACAGAGTGGGTTGGAGAATGCTGTTCGGTAGCCTATGCTTCATTAGGAGTAACAGGCGTAAGTAAGTAACCATATAAGAAAGTTGATTCAATGATAAACTTCATATAGTAATAGTAATATTGGTAGAAAAAAGGTATCTGGTATCCAGTTTCGATACAAAACTAAATAAATTAATTTCATTAACCGAATAGATTTTTTTTAACTAAGCCGAAAGGTGTCATAGTTATATATTACAATAATCGCCTAAAGAAATTGTGAAAGGAAACACAACGGATATAATTGACCTTGACACTTCAAGATTTGATACATGTACTATGAAATGATAAAAAATAAATTATCATTGATAATCGATAAATGTTTACACTTCAATCAATAAACTTGAAACTACTTTTCATTGGTTAATAAGTCATATAAAAAAACTCCATTTTATACAGTCATCTTCAATCTAAATTATATTTTCCATGTTAAATATTTTTTGGGTTGTAGCTGTATTATCATTTATATTTTCATGTAAATTTTTAATGGAGTCTTGTTATCTATGGTTAGATGATTTGATCATGAAGCTTTCATCATTTTTCAAACTTCAGGTAGAAGTGAAATATTCGAATTCATTTCAAAGAACGATGTAAACCATCCAGCTCAGAGAATAAAACTTCGTCCAAATCATCCATCTGAACTATAAATCTTGTTCACTATCTCATGTAAAACTAATTAGTTTATTGACAATTTCTTATGATGTTCAATATACAATGGTTAGTAAATTTTGAATCAGTAATTTGGTTCATTTAAGTAGTAACCAATCAACTATACTAGTTGAATGGCTTTAAGCGATTGATTACACAATCTACACAATCGTATAAAGTATTTTAATAATATAGAAAATTGTATAGTTAACTATTGTCCATTAAGAAAAAAGAAAAAAACATTTTTTTAATTTATAGACTGTTTAGTTATAATCTGTACAAATAGTGAGATTTTGAATTCACTTGGTACTGTTTGGCTTGTATCTTCCCATTGAGGTTTAAGACTGCAATTGATCAGTCTATTATTGGCATATGTGCATACTGTGAGTAAGCCTCGATATTGCCTTAATTCACAAGCTTTTTGTAAGTAATGATGGATAGTGGCTAGCAGTGGAATCCAGGACGCGCGTTTTGTCCTATTTGCGACTCGTTAGCTGGATGTACCTGCATCTCAGAGTTGATGTTCACTCTGGGACTCGAACCCAATGGGAACTCAAATGGAAGATACAAGCCAAACAATACCAAGTGAATTTAAATTCATCCCATTGCACAAGCAAGTGGCTATCAGGACTCAGTAGCTGAGTAGATAACGTGATGGCGTTTGAAGCGAATGGTACTGGGTTCGAGTCCCAGAGTGAACATCAACTCTGAGATGCAGGTACATCCAGCTGACTAGTCGCAAATAGGACGAGATGCGCGTCCTGGATTCCACTGCTAGCCACTATCCATCATTACTTACAAATAGTGAGATTTTGGTTTCACTATATAACAAATGAGGAGAAAAAGAACAATGATTTTCAGTTTGTAATTTTAATACGATAATAATTGAGAATATTATATTGACAAATGTAATAATATTTTGGTCACTGTATAAAATTGTATTATTTATAAACCTATCAGGGGATTCGTTACATAGTTAGATCAATGAATAAAGAGTAAGGAGTGAAATTAGCCTGGATATATATATATATATATATATATATATATATATATATATATATATATATATATATATATATATATATATATATATATATATATATATAGAGAGAGAGAGAGAGAGAGAGATTACAAGTGAAAGGAAAAGTTATAAATAACAAAACAAGCTCGTTGTTTATGAAGTTCTTCAAGTAGATCCATGCACATATAAACAAATTTCTTGTTTAGTTGGAAGGATTTAATGGAAAACAATGGATATAGATTTCATGCTAGTTGGCAGTTGTCGCCAAAGCGCATTTCCAATGACACTCTTGAAGTTCAAGTTCATAACATCTAATGTTATGATAATATATATTCACAACTGACCTGTCTGAATGTCTATACTTTTATCCGTGACTGGTTACAAATTAATGGTTTGTTTTTTAATTGAATTCTATCGATTTATTAACAATATGACTTAGTTACTTAAGCCTGTTACTCCTAATGAAGAATAGGCCGCCGAACAGCATTCTCCAACCCACTCTGTCCTCGGCCTTCTTTTCTAATTCCATCCAATTCTTGTTCATTTTTCTCATGTCTATCTCCATTTCCCGGCGTAATGTGTTCTTTGGTCTTCCTCTCTTCCTTTGGCCTTGGGGATTCCTTGTGAGGGTTTGTTTTGTGACGCAGTTGGGTGCTTTCTCCAATATGTGTCCTATCCACTTCCAGCGCTTCTTCCTGATTTCCTCCTCCTCTGGGATCTGGTTTGTTCTCTCCCACAGTTGGTTGTTGCTAATAGTGTCCGGCCAACGGATCTGAAGTATTTTGATCTGATATTATATGAATCAGAAATTAATGTTATGCAGCTTAAATTATTTAGAACAAAGCTATAAATATAATTTTTATACCCGTAAAAATCATCCATCTGAGCTACAAATCTTCTCCACCAGTATATCTTTGAATAAGTATAATTTACAACATGATAGAAAGATACTATCATCTATTTAGATTAGAAACCTGTTCCATACTACTATTACTAAGTATGATATTATTATGTAAGTTATCTTTTCTCTTATCATTTAAACTATATATACTTTTGCCTTAATTATAACTGGAAACTTATACAGTTACGTAAGAAAGAAAAAAGAGAGAAATTTTCATGTTCTACTTATCTATGGCATGATGTATATATTTTTTTGAAAAAAAAAAGAAAAAGATCGATGAAAAATGAGTTCCTTAATACTTTCTACTCAAAATAGAAGCATTATGGCATTTTGTTGTATTCATTTGG